GCGGCAGACCTCTACTGACCCGCCAGCTGTTCCCCTCAGCAGTGTACTTCGTCAGTCTGCCTGTTTTGCTCCCCACTCTGTCCCTGGTGAATCCTCTCACCCTCCGCATCTCTGACCTGTACCCCAGCTCTGTATGAATAAATAAATAAATCTTTTTAAAAAAAAAAAAGATTTTACTTACTTGTGCATATAGAACTGGGGTACAGGCCAGAGGTGTAGGGGCAGTGAGAGGATTCACCAGAGACAGGGTGAGGGGCAAAACAGACAGATTGACAAAGTACCTTTCTGCGGGGAGCAGTGGGCAGGTCAGGAGAGATCTGCCGCGCCATGTGGATCACCTCCAGGGCCTGGGATCGAACTAGTACTGAAGTGGCCATGGACAGCTTTGCGGTGCTGCTGCATTCCAACCCACTGGCCACCAGGGAGGGGCCCCAGCTATTTTTTTTATATAAGTCAGGCTGTTTTAGCATCACTAATCTTTATTATTTTAAGATTTATTTATTTATGCATACAGAGCTGGGGTACAGGCCAGAGGTGCTGGGGATGTAAGGACTCACCAGAGACAGAGTGGGAAGCAGAACAGGCAGATCTACTGGAATACACTGCTGAGGGGAGTGGCAGGTGGGTCAGGAGAGGTCTGCCTCGCCATGTGAGTCACCTCTCTGGCTGGGGATCAAACTCATTGTGCAGTGGCTGCATTAATTTGAAGCTACAATGAAAATATAGTGCTGTGCCTTATCCCGTTGTGCCACCAGGGTGGGAAACCCCCACCGCCCCCAACTCCCTGCTATTTTTTACTCTCAGGTTTACTGGTTTGGATGATAATTTATGTGGTTCTCCTTCATAACAATGTTAATATGGCATGATTCCCTATCTGGTATTATCTTGCCAGCCAGACTAAGCTTATAGTCAAGTAGGCAACTTAGATGCTCAACCAAGTTGTGAAATTAATTGCTTATGTCTGTGATAAGTGCACTAAGTGAAATAATGACTATTCAAACGGGTGTTGGGAATGGAAGTTTTGTGATCTGTGAGCTCATTAGTCAAGGTAGATTTCAGGAATATGGAAGAAAGAAGTTATAAAAGTAAACCCAAGATTTTGAGTACCTGTGACTAGAAGTATGATAGTACCATGAACAGATGACAATCATGGGGAAGATGATATTACAAAGTGAGAGGATCAGACTGTGATATGGTGATTTGTTAGAAACATTTTAATTTTTAGGTATAGGCATAATTTTTGGATAATATAAGACTGAAACTTTTTGTGATAATATAAGACTGAAACTTGGAAAAGATAATTTAGGGCTCAGAGATACAGATTCTGGGGCAGTACACATAGAATTTAAGCTATGAAATTGTTTTGTCCCAACTTCTGTGACCAGCCGCAGGAAAGGAAGGCAGGAGGCAGAAAGGCTGATCAAACAAAGTTTATTGCTCCGGGACAGCAGCTGAGACTGAGCCCCTAGAGTGGGGTCCGCAGCTACTGCCACCCCTATGGGGGGAAGGGTCTCTTATATAGACTAAACTCAAATTCCAAAGGGATGACTCATTGCTGTGTCCCTGGATGTAAGGCCCAGTTCTTTATCACCTTCATCTAGTCCCATGGAGGATGCAAGACCCCATTAATTGGATGCAAGGCTCAATTTATTACTGCCTTATCACCTTTGGATGCAAGGCCTGATTTATTACTGCCCTTATCCAGTCCCTCAGTAAATCTCCGCATTTGGTCACTCCCAAAAGAAATAAGTAACAATTCTAGTGTCCTAGCAGAGCATAGAGAAAAAGGAAAAGCACAGAACCTTAGGAAGTGCCTTCTTTGTAAATGAATGACTTTTGTTAAAAGACTTAGTGTCAGGAAAATGAGAAAAAAGGTATGAAGTAATCCAGAAGCATAGTGTCTTTCTTTGAAACACAATAAAGAATTTCAAGGAGAGACTTTTTAGAGGTAAGCGATGCTATGGAAAGATTTAAGAATTTTAATATAATAGGTGGGTACATTGAATTTAATAAGAGGTTAGTCATAGTTGAGAAAATATCAAATAGAATGAATATAAAGGATTAAATAAATGGTTTCATAAAATATAGGACATAAAGAATAAAATAGAATATTTTCTAAGTTTTCACAGTAAGTAAGGACTTAAACACACGTAAGATATTTTAGCATTGGCAACTAGTGTATGTTTTAGGTAAAAGAGATCCATCCATTACAGTAAATATATAAAGTAGCTTAATTATTAGAGCAACTTTATTGCCTGGAGGCATTAAGGATTTGAGACCAAGGTCACAAACAGGGTGCTTTAAAAAAAAAAAAAAGATTTTTATTTATGCATATAAAAACTGAGGTATAGGCCACAGGTATGAGGGTGGGAGAGACAGAGTGGGGAACAGAACAGGTGGAAGAACAGGTGGATCTACTAAAATATACTGCAGAGGGGAGCAGTATGTCAGACAGGAGGTGGCTGCTGCACTATGTGGGTTAGCTACCTGGCCTGGGAGTCTAGCTCTTGCTGAAGTGGCTAGCAGTGGCCAGGAGTAGCTTGATAGTGCTGAGACTTTAACCCTGACACCACCAGGGAGGCCTGAATTTCCCCAATTCTTTTCCTGGATTTAGCTTGTAGTTTATTTTTGGTTTGAGAAGTAGAATATTACATTTATTTCCTGAAAAAAGAAATATAGGTTGATAAGAAATAGATTATTTTCTCATAGTTAACAGAAATACTAATACTCATGTTCTTCTATATGGTTAGAGCTGGTAAAGAAAGTCATCTTCTATTTAAATTTTAGTGAGAGATCCTCATAAAATTCTGGGGACCTTAAAAAGAATGTATTGCTAAAAGCATGGTTATTGTATCTTTGTCATTTGGCTTTGCTGTCTAATATACTTAGTATCAGCATTTGGCAAGGAGAAAGCTATGTGTTCTAATTACTAGACAGAAATAACTGATCTACCAGGATTTAATAA